GAGAGAGAGAGAGAGAGAGAGAGAGAGAGAGAGAGCTGATTTTGAATAAATAAACTACAGTAGAATTTTTGGCTGAAATGAGGCACAATCTTGGACTTTGGGTTGTTATATTTTTCTTATATTGGACTTCCTTTTAGCTAACGTTTGCAAGCTTATGTATGTTGCTTGATCTCACGTGAATTGTCTTAAACCAGTACACCTATGTATGTTGCTTGATAAGCACATTCAAAACAGGGATCATAACATATAGTAGCCAATTAACCATGAGTCAGAGGTTTAAATCTGATAAAGAAACTTGTTATTTCATAGTTTTTACGTCTTATGTTTTCTTGCCTATCATAAAATTCCTTTCATGCATTTCAGCACTAATCACATGATATATACACGACTACACATATACATTGAGCTCGATGATAAATGTATATAGTTTTATACAAAATAATTTTCAAGATTTTATTTCATTTCTTAGTCGTTTATAGATAAGTGCTCGAGTCTGTTTCCATAGCTTGTGTGCTTCAGAATCATCACTAGCAAGTGCAGAGCAACGACTCTCATTACAATCTGCAAAATATCTCCCACTCACCCCTTCCATTTTTGCGCTTAGAGCAACATAACATGTAGTTGATGCTCCTTGCGATGTTGACTTCAACAACTTGGAAGCAACAAAGAACATAGAATCTGAAAACGTCAATGGAGTTCTTATAGTTGTGATGCCATTATTATAACATGAATGCAATTTGTAGGGTATTTTTTATGTAGTTTGGAGACATATAATATACCCGTGATAATGCCTTTATGATCCCTGATGATTCCAGTCTTCACGATCCCTGGATGCACAGAATTGATAGTTATGTTTGCGTCTATTGCCTGCCATTAAAAATCGACAACCCCACTTAGATAACCATCAACTTTTTACATTATTATATATCAAGTTTTGTAACTTGTAATTAACTAACACATTAATTAACTTTGTATATATAGTAGATGCATGAGCATGTGTGTGCATACCTTCATTTGTGTTGCGAGCTCATTAGCATGCATTATGTTGGCCAACTTCGATTGAGCATATGCTCGAGTTGCATTATAACTAATATCCAAAACAACATGTATTTATAATTAGTCCAAGCGTAATTAAGGTACATCTGAATAAATTAAGAGGTTCCATTTTTATCTAACACATACTGCTTTGGTTGGAGCATTCGGTTGAAATCGAAATGGTCCTTTTTCACCCAACTATGAATCACAGAAGAAACATTCACTATTCTTCCTTCGACTCCTGTCTGTCTTGCTGTATCTATCATCTTCTCTAACAATAGCTCCGTAAGCAGAAAATGACCTATTGGAAAGTAAAAGGAATAAGTAATTATCAAAGAAATATGTAAAATATTCACAGTGAATTGATGCGACATGAATTGACCTTCTCGTCTCCATTTTCCCCAATCAACTTTCTCTTTTATAAAAGGAGATTTGTATGTTGATTTATTTTGTCAAAATAATTATTCAAGCAAACAAATTTGGTTTGTACTCAAGAAAAAAATGACATATGAAAAAAGCATTTTAACTCATTTTGGGCCACATGTTTAAAAGTTTTGCTAGTATATTATTATTTTGTATGTTAAAATAAATTTTGTTGTTAATAAAAAGCGTCCAATGTTCTATATGCAAAAAGAATATAAAAAATAAAAATCATGTCGATGTATTTTAGTATTTCAAACAATCTTTATGTCATTTAGATAAGAAATTTGCTAATAGACCCTAAAATTACCTAAAAATAAAAGGGTACTTAAGTAGTTTAAATTCTAAAGATACCCTAGGGTACTTTTAGGTATGTTCTTTTTTTTTTATAAAATTAAGACAAAATTACAAAAATGGTCCCTATGGTTTGCTAAAAGTCACAAAGTCAGTCCCTGTTAATTTTTTTTTGATGAAAATGGTCCTTGTGGTTTGCAAAACTTGCACAGATGACCCTTTTTACTAACTCCGTTAGTATTCAGTCGTTACGGTAAGGGCATTTTTGTCTTTTCAGGTATAAATAGACTAAATTCGTGATATATGGTAAACCACAGAGACCATTTTTGAAATTTGTTTGAAAAAGTTAATTTATATTTTTGAAATTTGTTTGAAAAAGTTAATTTATTGGCTGAATGAAGGGGGGAGGGCTCGAACTCAAGACCTACACCATTAAATAACCAAATCATTAACCAGTCGAGCTGCATGCACATTTGGTTTATACTTTCTAAATACTAATTTATATAATAACGAAAACGTTAAAACATAAACAACAAATAAATTACAAAAAACATTTTTTTACATATTTTTTTTAAATAAATCAAAATGTATTTTAGTCGTATTATAAAAAAAATTACAAACAATTTGTATGTATTTTTATATATTTATTTACATAAAGTATATTTTTTTTATGTCTTTAAAAAATACGGTTTTGTATAAAAAATATGTTTTCGTAAAATATATTTTTTTATATATTTAAAAAATACGTTTTCGTATAAAAAAATACGTTTTCGTAAAATATATTTTTTATGTCTTTAAAAAATACGTTTTTGTATAACAAATACGTTTTCGTAAAATATCTTTTTTTTATGTCTATGAAATAATAATAATAATTAACACTGGTTTTAGAACTATCGATCCAAAAGAATTTATACATTTTTTTTATGTCAGGAGCACAGTTGTAAAAATCGTTTGACGGTAGCTCGACGGTCGACTGTTGTTAAATGATTAATCAGTCTTGGCGGAGATTAATCGGGAACCATAAATTATTAATAAAATATTAAAATTAATCAAATATTAATATATCTTAAGAAAAACAAGTACTTCAAAATTAGAAAATAAGAAAATTTGTAATTTGAAAATTTGAAAATATAAAAATGTGTTTTTATACGAAAACGTATTTTTTAAAGACATAAAAAAAATACATTTTATGTAAATAAATATATAAAAATACATACAAATTATATGAAAAAAAATTTATAATACGACTAAAATACATTTTGTTTTATTTAAAAAAAATTATGTAAAAAATGTTTTTTGTAATTTATTTGTTGTTTATGTTTTAACGTTTTCGTTATTATATAAATTAGTATTTGGAAAGTATAAACCAAATGTGCATGAAACTCAACTCGTTAAGGATTTGGTTATTTAAAGGGTGGAGGTCTCGAGTTCGAGCCCTCCCCCTTCATTCAGCCAATAAATTAACTTTTCCAAACAAATTTCAAAAATGGTCCCTGTCGTTTACCATATATCACGAATTTAGTCCCTTTATACCTAAAAAGACGAAAATGCACTTACCCTAACGACTGAATACTAACGGAGTTAGTAAAAAGGGCCTTATGTGCAAGTTTTGCAAACCACAATGACCATTTACATAAAAAAAATTAGCAGGGACTGGCTTTGTGACTTTTGGCAAACCACATGGACCATTTTTGTAATTTTGTCTAACATTAATACATATATGTCTGCATACATGTGCTTATTTTTATATGAATGCATGCATATAATATGTGCATCCATTAATGCACCATATAAACTTTTATTTATTATTATTTTTTTGAAACGGCGAACTATCTAAAACTACTCCTAAATATCACCTATGTTTCCCAAGATACTTGAACCCATGACCTTTCATTTGAGAGGATCACTCCTTAACGCTATATCAAATCCTTTTTGGTAATGCATCATATAAACATGTATTTATATAATCTATTTATTATCTGCCGTTCCAAAAAAAGTTATCATATATTTTAATATTATCTTAATTTAAACCAAAATTAATATGCTAATTATTTTTAGAAAAAAATGATAAATATTGTTGTTTTTTATTTTTTTCTACAAATAATTTTGGGATTTTTCTAATATGTGTCCTAAGGACACATATAAGAACTATTGATTATGGGAAATATTACCATAATTAAATGTTAAATGCATTAATTATGAAAAATATTATCTATAATTAATGAATTTCACATTTAATTATTTAATTATGGTAATATTATCCATAATTAATAGTTCAGTTTAATGTTTCTTATGTGTGCCTTAGAAAATCCCAATAACTATTGATTTTGTAAGGATTAACTAACTACCAAAAATAGGAATTGTGTCATGTTTTTACATACCCAATATGTAAAGAGAAATTAAATATTCTCTTATTTTTTGTTCCTATATATCCTCCTATCCAATGAAATGATGACATGTGTAACATTTAATGTTCATTTAATGAAATTTAATGATATTTTAGGATACTAATATGACACATGTCATCATTTAAATGGGGTATGAGGATTTGTAGGATCAAAAGGTAGGAGGATATTTAATTTCTCATATGTAAAATATTGTATTTGTAATAGAATGAAAGGTAATTTTTTGCGACATATATATTATATATAGGGTAAACACTTTTATTAAAAAGGAAATTTATAAAAGGTATTGAAACAAAATAATGAAATCAAGAAATTACCCAAGTAATTTGTAGCAAATGTCATCTCAAATTTGTCCTCTGAGAACTCCAACTTCTGAGAAAATTTGCCTGCGTTATTTCTAAAAATAGATTTATATTCATTATTAGTCACATGGATATATACTCAAAAAATAAAAGCTCAAATATTGTATATTCGAACAAAAATGGATGCTAAATGAAAATAAAACCTTACATGAGAATATTAAGAGGTATTTCTAGTGACAAAAATTCAGAACAAAATTTTTTGATGGAAGCAAATGAACTGAGATCAATCTCCAAGACTATGATGTCAGCTTTGGGGTGCTCCTTTTGTATATTTTCTTTCACTCTCGCCGCCTTCCTTAGATCTCTCGCCGGCATCACAATCTTCACCCCTCTCTTTGCTAATACTCTCGCTGTCTCTGCTCCGATTCCAGATGTAGCGCCTGTAAATACCAAAAATAATTAAAATAAATAATATTGGAGTTCATGTTAGGGTTAATGTGATAAATGACCTCCAATTATAGCAAAAATAATTAGTCGTTCATAGAAATAATTATGCTGACAATTAAAAATATTCATTTTTTTTAAATGACAAACCAACATATATACTCATAAATACAATATAGTGAGATTTGAATTCATAACCTCACAATTGAGAGAGTCACTCCATACCGTTAGTTCAAAGACCATTTATTAAAAAACATCTCTTTGGTCCTTTTCTCTTATTTGGTTAGATTCCGAGTTATGTTTGATACAATCAGACTTCGACTCAATCAAATTTGATTAAATTAGTAATTATCAAACAACTAGTGCTTTTATAATAGTAATATATATATATATATATATATATATATATATATATATATATATATATATATATATATATATATATATATAAAGACAAAGTTATTACCATTGGTTTAACCATCAAATTATAATATAATATTATAGTTCAAATATATAAAATTATTATTAATAATTATTTTTGAAACATAGTACTTACTACATAAAGTTATATTACAAAACATAAAATAAGTTGTTCCCACATAAGTTGCTACAGAAATTAGAAACACAAGTTACTGTCAAGAAAGAGAAATATGTAAGCAGAGAATTAACCATTCTGAAAAGGGAAAAATGATTGTAATTGTCATGGGGGATTATCTGGAAAGCAGTGATATTGTGTAAACGAATGAGACAAGGTCTTCATGAAAGACAAAACCATTTTTTGCTCAACATGGAAAAGGGACCCGCTTTTATTAGCTTTTTTTTAATAAACTCTAAATTTTTTGACCACTTATTTTTTTTATTGCCTATAATCAAATTTAGTGGTTGAAGAATGAATTTTTAGACAGATTTTTTTTTTTTTGGATTTAAACTCTAGCACATCCTAAATATTAATAGTGGTTTGCGATTATTTCTATATGGGGCTTAAGAAAGATTGTTTATATTGTACGGCTTATGATATTATTTTTAGTTTTTTCTTCATCCAAATCCTATAATGGTTAATAAGACGTTATGACATCAAAAGACTTGCATCTGGATCAAAATCAATGCCTCTCAATATTTGTAACTATTATCCATAGGTAAAATTGAAATATTGGTTTTGAAAGTTCTGCAAAAAAAAATTAACTATCTGTATATATATAAACCAATTTGAATTTTTTTTTTTATTATTTTTTTAAAAGAAGTGATAAAAATGTAGTATACTTAATATGCCATCACCATGCATAAGTTGAGTGACAGAATATGTGATCTAAGAATTATCTCACAAACCATTAACCTCACCTCCTTCGATCCTCATGATTCCCTCAAACCCTACCACATTCTTGTCTATGATTGAAAGAATATTTCTCCATCAAATATTGATCAATTGTCGTATTTAGATTTCGATATTAATATATACTACTATATGAATTTCAAATTTACAAGTGAAAACAAAAACTAACATACAAAATTTGAATCATGTTAAGATTACTTTGAATGGTATAGCAAGAAAATATCAAGGAAGATTTACATTGTTTCACATACATAAATATGTTTATTTATTTATTTATTTTTCTGAATGACGAAAGAAGGACTTGGAAATGCAAGCAACCATGAACCGAAGAAAGCAACTACAATGAAAGCATGTCAGTCGAAAAAGGTTGCAAAATCTACACAAGGTTGACAGTGTGGGTTTCACAGCTTTTCGACTTATATGTTTTTCTTGTATTGTTGGGTTCCTTATTGCTTGCTTCTAGTTCTTTTAGAGCATTTCTTTATAAAATTTTGACTCTAAAAGAATATGCAATCTTGATTCGAATCCTGATCCTAAATACTACCAATGAATCATCAGGAGACTCAATAAAAAAAATCACCAATCCAAGAGGATTTTGGAGTAAAGAAATGAAAAAAATTACCAGTGACAATAGCAGTGAGACGAGGAGGAAGGGAAGAACAATCTTGAGTAACTTGATCAGCAGTTGACTTTGATCCATATCCGCTTTGACCTGCTATCCCAGCTAAGTACCTCATGGTTCCCTTCATGTTTGGCGTACACCTTATCACAACCTTCCACGCCAATGTTATAACACCAAATAAACACACACAAATATATATGGGGAGGTTCAACATTCTCCTACTCCATGGTCCACCATAAGCTGGTAGTCTTCCCCAATAAGATTTGTTTAGAGGAGAATAAGGAAGTCAAATATTTGACTCGTGTATCTATTGCTTGGATGAGTTATTTAAAAGTGAAGCAAGTGATTAATCGTGGAAAAACATGAGTAATAATGTTGGTTTTCTTTCTACTAGGTAATTATTGTTGTCCTCTAAACTCATTACAAATATTATTTTCCATCTAATATATGTGGATACTCATGTAAAATTTGAGCCAATGTCATTTAAATTGTGTTTTGAAATATATATTTGGATGGGATTATAGATTAAATTAGGATTTAGGTTGACATTGACATTCTACTTTGATGTGTCAATGTTTGGTTATTTTAAACTTTTGGTACATCTAAGACCCTAATTTTTTTTTTTTTGAACTGTATACACGATATCAAATGTTATAGCAGGTTTTGTGCCAACTAGGCATCCATGGGACGTCAACATGGCATTATTTTTATTTTAACTTTCTTTTGTAATTTAAAAAAATATTGGGTTATCTACAGAAAAGTCCTAAACTTTTTTCAAAAGTTTCAATAAAGTCCTAAAAGTTTTTTTTTGAACAGAAAAATCCAAATATTTTGATTTTTTGGCCTAAATTAACGAAAAAATCCTTTTTCATATTTGAACAGCAAATGATAGATTATATGATTTTTTTTCAAAATATTGGGACTTTTTCTGTTAAAAAAAACTTTTAGGACATTATTGAAACTTTTGAAAAAAGTTTGGGACTTTTCTGTAGATAACCCAAAAAAATTTATAAAATATATTATTATTATTATTATTATTATTATTTATTTATTTATTTAAATTATGAACACCCTTAAAAAGTCAAAGAGAAACTTACACAAACACTGTCTACCAATGTCCACCATTACTATGACAGTAACCCTAATATATCCTAGATCCAACAATTCAAACGACACCTCTCAGTAGATCGACATCATTCATAATCAACATCAAGTCGGTAAACCCTATTATATTATTGACACTAATCACATCTACAAAACTACACACCATGCATTAGAATCCTGGGACATACAACAAAACGATAAGAGAAGTGTGTCCTCGATATCTATATGAGGAAGTCTGTCATCGATAGCAATGACTACTTACCAATTGCTCACTCCTCGCAAAGATCATCGAGAATGGTGTCTCTAAACTTCCTAAAACTAAACAAACTCAAAGCATGCGGAAAGCCAACTTCCATGGCCTTAACCAAAGTAATTTTGTGAAAAATTATTCTAAACCAATTAATTGCAATTTTGGAATGGGAAATGTTATCACCGACAAATAAATTCGAGAAAAACATACACATTCCCATCCCTCAATAATCCATCAAACTTCTGAATTAGTTGGAACATTTTTTGTAACATCTTGTTTCCTACCATTTCTGAGCCATGGACCGGAAGTCGATTGTGTGAGGTTTTGAGCCTTAAGGAGGCAAATTTTAGTCCTTGTGGAAGGAGGTAATGATAGTTAAAAGATTTTACCCTTGAATTGTGTTATGGGCTGAAGGGTAGAAAGGGAAAAGTTACAGACCGGGTTCTTGTGTGAAATATAGATTTTTGTTCGAGAAGTTTTTAGTCTAAGATATTTAGACTATAAATATGCATAAGAATAAGTATATGCATATTCATAAGTTTATGCATATGCATATGAATAAGTATATGCATGCATGAGAATAAGTATATGCATATACATATGAATATGCATGATGCGTGAAAACAGCTACACCTAATTTTACCTACTAGTCTACTAGCTATTCGACCCAGGGCAATGTATCCTTTCGCAAATAGTATAGCACAAAAGCCAGGTATCGAACTCATGGAACAATTTTAATTAATTAACCTACTTACTATTAAATTAACCTAAAATTCTAGCAAAAGTAAAATGGTTTTTTATCTAATTTTGCAAGTTTAGACGAACTTAAATTCTTATCAACTAATTCAATCAAATATTAAACACTTCTGTTAGTTCGAATCCACTTTCCCCTCAATGGTTTAGCTATTAATTATGGATAATTCTTGTTGGTTACCAATTTATATGTTATTAGCAATTCAAGTCCAAATTTACTAATGTTGAATTAATTCATGTAGATCTATGCATAGTCACACATAATTTAACACATAATTAATTACTAGATAAGATTGGAGCTATGTAAGATTGAGTTAACAAACACAATTATGATCATAATATGAGTTCTCCAGCACATCCAAATTCAATACTTTAATTACTTATCTAAGATTGGTTCGATCTTAGCTCTAATAATCTAATGTTCACTAAATTACTAGGTAATCAAATTTATGCAGATTAATGGTCACTAAGCTACACAGAATATGAATTAAAGCAATCTAGTATCAAATTAAGCATGCTAGGTATAAACAATCAAACATAAGCCATTAACCAACTAGGAAAATCTATATTAACCTAACCAAACCATGAGTTACAGCTTCATCTAGCTAACAAAAGCAGCTAGATTCAACTACTCATAGCTAAAACAAAACACACAATTTCAACTAATAAAGACATAATGAATTGTACCAAATCAAAAGTAAAGTAATGATCTTCCTATCCTTCTTCCAATACCAATACTTGATTTCTCTCTTAATTTTCCTCTGAAATTCGTCTTCTGGAACTTCTAATCTCCAGCCAACCTCCCAAAATCGTGAGGATCAAGGATATTAATATTTTTCGATTTTAACCATGCTCACGTCGTGAGCTCGATAGCAATCCGTATTCAACACAAATTCTTGCTTCCGGATGTTAATCTTCTAGAATCACCATGCTCACGTCCTGAGCCTTCACTCCTCACGTCGTGAGAACGTCTTTTAGCTGAATTATTTTTCTTTCAAGCTTTAACCCTCCAAAGTTCCGATCTTGTCGCTTTTAGTCCTTATTCTTCAAGATGACTTCTTTTGGCTACAAAATGTAATTAAATACCATAAGTATCATTTATCTATGCGAATAACCAAAATAATACACAAAATGTATTCAAATATTGCCTAAAAATATGTATAAATATGGCAATATCAAATACCCCACACTTATCTTTTGCTTGCCCTCAAGCAAAACTAATTTATTAAAAATCAAACTTTCATCACTAGCATCACATAGAACAATCCATTTTGCACTCAACCATTATACCAAGGCCACAATGCGTATATTTGTGTTTAAATCTCCTAATAAATTTCCAATCCTAAATACTCACAATCCTTATGAACATTCACCCCTGTCACACCCCCAAACCGAAACGGCGGAAACGTTCAGGGGCGGAGGACGTCATGTATAGTATCACAACAATTGAATAATAGTAATCAAAGTAACAACAACCATTGTATTAATAGTATAGTGTTTACATTACATTTTAATCATACACGATTGACTGCAAAAGTAAATACTGATGGGTTTTAGACATAAGAACAATCCTATGTGCTCATACAAACCCTAATGCTTGGATCTAGGTTTCTCTATTGTACATGCAATGAATCCAAGACTTACAAACCCTAATCTAGCATACATAATTTCGAAATTAACATACAACACCAGATCTAGATGTTTACCTCTTTAATGGAAGCTTGAATCTTCTTTCTTGGAGCTTAGAGTCACAATTGTAACTCCTCTAATGGCTTACAAACACCACAAGAAAGAAGGTAACTATGAGAGAGGAGGGATGATGCTTAATTTCGGCCTAGGGTTTCTCTTGGGAACCAAGTGGCCGAAAATTGAAGGCTAGGGGTCTTATTTATACTGTAGGCTGCTAGGGTTTCAGTCTAAACCCTAATGGACAGCTTAATGACCAAGCAGCCCAAGGAACCTTCTGGAATAGGGCCTTGGACGAAAATATGATGATCCTTCATCATAATTTCGTTCCCCCTTAGTCCATTAGGTTTCCCAGCCCAAAACTCAACTATCACACATTTGACAGTTTATGCCCCTTTGTTTAATTAATCTCTTTTAGTCATCAAATTAATTCCTAATTAATTTATGACTAATACTAATTAAATAAATATGATTTCTCCTTTAATATTTTATTCTTATAATATATTAATAAACCATAATATCCTCTCTCTTTCCTTAAATTACCTTGTCAAGTTGCTTTGGTGAAGGCAACCCAAAAGGACCATGCATAACCGGGTCAAGTATATACCAAATATAGTTACGGGCTTAGACACTAATCCAACAGTCTCCCACTTGGATAAGTCTAGTAACTATATCTCACATATGACTTCAGAATCCGGTTAGCAATCGTAGCTCTTATACGCTTCTGTCAACTCTGATCAAAATACTGTCCTTCAGATAAGGGATCGTATAATCCTCTGTTCTAGATATCACGCCGACAATACTTATTGTCCAGCATTTTGTTTCTCGATCTCTGATTTGTTCGACATAGAATTTAGTTGAACACATCAACTTCATCCTAACCGGGCTCGACACATAAGTCAAACCAAATCATCAAGTGGCCAAGATATCGCTTTTATTCTCTTAGGATAAAAGGAACAGATAAACTTCGACTTATACACAATAATACGTTTTATAACATCAAGTTACTGATGCGTTTTCGTTTTATCAATGCATAATCAACTAGCAAACAATAACCATATCTCTAAGTTTAAAAATTATATGATATTATCATCTTGCGATCACTTGTGATAACTTTCATGAAGTGATACTAGCAAGTGCGGGTTTATTCCAATGCTCAAAACATATTTCATAAGTACTCATAAACTTTGTAGCAAACCTTTGCTATGTCTAAAACATTTTAGACAATCTACAAACAAATTTATGACAATCTTCTTTCATATCTACTTCCAACATATGAGCGATTGTGGACTGTTCGAACAATCTTATTATTCAGGAAGTCAAAACATGCAAAA